CGTCACCCGGCCGCAAAACAGCACCTCAAACTTCTTGCTAAAAGGATCTTCAGCCGGTTCTTACTGGTTCGGGCGAACCGCTAGTAGCGGCTGCTGGAGGCTCCGCCCACCACCCCGACGTAATGCGCGACATTTGAGAACCTGTAGGAAAGGTAAGTGGATCCCACCACTGATCTCTCTCTCTATATATATATATATATTGCAGGTGCCTGAGATTATCAGCACCATCAGACATGCAGGGAAGATCTCTCGTCAAGAAGACTTTCAGAACCAATCTGAAGATCCTTTTAGCAAGAAGTTTGAGGTGCTGTTTTGTGGCCGGGTGACGGTCGCGCACAAAAACGCCCCTCCGGCCCTCATCGATGAATGCATCGAGAAATTCAACGATGTGAGTGATATCAAAAACCTGGGCGTGTCCCGTCCAAATGACAGCGCCGAACACTTCCGCGGATTTTCCATCAGCGACAAATTCCGCTCCGTCTTCCAACCTTCAGCGAGCGAAGAGGAGGCCGCTAAACCCATGAGGAAATCTTACTCGCAGCCTGGACTCCCTTCTTTTGCGTTGAAAAGGGACTCGCAGACCTGGAGCCTGAAGGGTAACAGCCTGGCCAGGTCCTTGGATGAAGACGACGCCGTTTCCCTCAACTTAAAAAGTCAATTTATCCAGGGACAAAACGTACAGCCGACAGATATCGCTGGGAACCGGATTATGCTGTTCACGGTAAAAGCCTGATTTTGTTTGCTTAGAATTCCCAGGGTTGAGCTGCTGCGGGTTTGCGCAGGTTCAGGCGATCCTCTAGCTAAGGATCCGCCCAGTTCAGCGAACCCACAAATCTCACCCCTGCCTAGCCCCGCCCACCCCTCTAACCACACTGTGCCACTCCCAGGAGTCTCCACATGGCCGGTATTGAATGCCAGGTTAGTGCAGGGCCCACGCGAAGGCTCCGGGAGGACAAAAAACAGGTTTTTGCCCTCCCGGAAGCTTGAGAAAAACCTCCGTAGCCTGGGTAGGGTGAAAAACGCCTGCCCCCCACCATGGTGCAGAAGGATGACTAGGCCACACCCACCATGGCCACACCCACCCAGCAACCAGGCAGAGAACCCGTTGCTAAAACTTTTTCAAGCTTCTGACCGTTCCTAAGCATTGCTGTATTGCTAAGTGTTGAAACGCTGCAGATCCTTGAGAAGGGAGGACCGTATTTTTCGGAGTATAAGACGCACCTTTTTCCCTCAAAAAAGAGGATGAAAATCTGGGTGCGTCTTATACACTGAATACAGCCTTTTTGGCCTCCTGAAACCCCACCCCCTTTGCAAAAATGACCGTGCATAGCCTTTAGGAGGCTTCCTGAGTGCTCCTGGGGGGTTGGGGAGGGCAAAAATGAACAAAAACGGCCCGTTTTTTTTTCGTTTTTGCTCCCAACCCCCAAGAGCACTAAGCCTCCGAAATGCTATCCATGCCCTTTTCTTGACAAAAAATGGGCCCGTTTTGGCAAAAAATGGGCCCGTTTTGGCAAAAAGTGGGCCATTTTGGGGAGGTCTGCAGAGTGCAAAAACCTTTATTTTATTTTGCCTCTTCAAAATCTTGGTGCATCTTATACTCTGGTGCATCT